TGTCAGGGTTTCCCATCGGTTGAGATCCAGTTCCAGTTCCAGTGCCTGTTCATGAGAAAAGGGGGTGGATTAACCCGGGGAACTTGACACTATACTCCTGTTTGAATCATTGTGCAGTGAGAGGAATTGAACTAAAACTTCATAATTCTGCAAGACAGCCATCTCCCAAGTTCTGTTCCAGTACTATAACTGGAAGGGCACACTAGCTATTTGTGCCAACACGTACCCCTGAGATTCCCCTCCTTTTTTCAACTTCTTGCTTCCTTTCATCCCAAGCACGTTAGGCCTCAAATGTTCATCTTCTATTTGTGCAAAAGGGAAGCTGAATATTGTCCTTTGTGGGTTGTCTCCTTAGCTCCTTCCTTTGAAAAGAAAACCACAAGTGGTTTAACCAGAATCGGAAAGAGGAAGTGAAAGTTTCACAAAACAATTCTCTCTTTTCCAGCCCTACAGAGCAGTGTTTTCTAACTAAGAACTAGAGACACCGAGGAGCTGCTTAACCGCTGCAGATGAAACACAGCACACTCTGAGCGTACACAGATTGAACGTGGACAGGCTGCCTTCTTATCATGATCACGGCATCATCATTTGTTATCTTACTGGCATTCATTACAAGTGAGTAGCATTTTTAAAACTACCCTCATTTGGGGTGGTTGTGCCTTTTAGTGTTCATGCCCCACTCTCTGTTTGGGCAGCAACAAAGTCTGTATTCCTTCCAGGATGGCTCACCTTATCTTTTCCCTCCCTTTGTGATATCGAATATCCAAGACAATGGGCTAAATCCAGACACAATCATCAGCAGATCCATAGAAATCCCTGGCTGAAATGCAGCAATAAGTTACAACTAGAGTAATCTCATTGACTCCTTGTGATGAGTCAACTCCCCTGTAAATTCCATGGATGAAAACAGGCCTTATCGAACTGTGACCTCCTACTGGATTTAAGCCCTTTTAGCCAAGAGTGACTTACGTTGCACTTATTTCAATACAGTGGACCCTCTACTTAAGGAATTAATCCGTATTGGAATGGTGGCTGCAAGTCGAAAAGTCTGTAAGTCGAATCTTCATTGACCTACAATGCACTGAAAACCGATTAATCCCATAACCAGTGGTTTTTATTCTATTTTTATTCCATATTGGTTTTTTTCACTGACTTCTTGTGGTGAGTCAACTCCCCTATAAATTCCATGGATGAAAACAGGCCTTATCAAACTCCTACTGGATTTAAGCCATTTTAGCCAAGAGTGACTTATGTCGCACTTATTTCAATAGTTCTGTTTCAGTCTGGATCCAACTGTGTTACTTTTGTCTTCGATTTTTGCCATGTTTTGCAGCCAGAGAAGTCTGTAACTCGAAAAGTCTGTTGTAAGTCGAGCCGTCTGTAAGTCGAGGGTCCACTGTAGTTCTACTTCAGTCTGGATTCAATGGTGTTACTTTTGTCTTCGATTTTTGCCATGCTCTATTATCACAGGAAATTTTATGTTTCTCCCCTGGTATCTCTGTTTATCTTTCTTTCTCTAGTTGATAGCTCCAAGGAAGTTCTTGAGAACCTTTCCCTCTACCACAACAAATGGGTTTCGTCCTAGAAGTGTACTTCGAGTTGAGCCACTTCAGTCTGGATTCAATGGTGTTACTTTTGTCTTCGATTTTTGCCATGCTCTATTATCACAGGAAATTTTATGTTTCTCCCCTGGTATCTCTGTTTATCTTTCTTTCTCTAGTTGATAGCTCCAAGGAAGTTCTTGAGAACCTTTCCCTCTACCACAACAAATGGGTTTCGTCCTAGAAGTGTACTTCGAGTTGAGCCATTAAAATTATGACTCAGTTACACCTAGCTGAAATCCGCTCAAATTCCGCCGATTTCAAAGAGTGTGCTTGGGAACTGTTCACAAGTCACTTACTCCAAATAGTACCGGCTCAAATATTATTTTGAGTAATTGCAAACCGTTCCTAAATACAAAATTCGCTCTGCCGTTTTGTACATTCTGAGTCCCAATGATCTAAGATTTCAAAAACTAGCAAAAGCCACAGCGCCTGATATTTTTTGGAGAATTAGGCTCTGACTTCCTTCCATTCTCCACACATCTTGTCTTCCACTGTAGTAAAAATAAAATAAAATAGAATGGAGAAGGATAATGAGCTCTGGATAGAACAGTGACCCAAACTTCATAGATCTTGATACAGCTCATATCTTCTCATGAGTTTGATCTTGCTTGTGTATATTATTATTATTATTTTAAAGAATAATTAGCGGCATATTATTTTCCCCATAAGGGACCCTGGCTGAGTCAGTGACCCAGCCTCAACGATCACTTATCATAGAGGAAGGATCACCAATATTCATCAACTGTACCTATAAGTATGGTGGCTATCCCCATCTCTTTTGGTACACCCAGCACCTTGATGATGGATCTCTTCAACTTTTGCTGCAAGAGCATAACGCAGAGGCTGATCGGAGGAAGAAAGATGGGGAGTTCTTTGCTACCCACAACAAGGGAATGACCTCCTTCCATTTGGAGAAGCAAGCCAGCTCTGTGAAGGACTCAGCTGTCTACTTCTGTGCCTTTGGAGACACAGTGGTGGAAACAGGGCTGGCTGCTGACTCAAAACCCCCGGTCGTTCTAGGAGCTGAAACATAAATTTTGCAAGAATCTGTTTTCAACTGACCTGGTCCAGAGCTCTATCCAGACCCAGATCCTTCACAGTTGAATCTCCCAACTAAGAGGAAGTGCTCAAAAGCGATACCTCTGTGCAGCCTTTTGCACCACTTTATACAGTATTTGTGTGTTTATTTCCTTGGGCTCTTGACATGTTAGACTGCGTAGAAATTCCTGCCAAATTTAACCATTCTCTCCAAATGTATTTGGCAACTTAGCATAATAAATGCCAAATCATTTAGAAAGAAAAATACAGTCTATTGTAAAGTGTCGGGTGTATAAAGTGTGATTGGAGGTGACGACCCTCTTAGGAAAAGTTGAAGGCAGCAGGAAAAGAGGAAGACCAGATACAAGATGGATTGAATCCTCGAAGGAAGCCACCACCTTGAGTTTAAAAGAGGATAACTGAGAAAAAGACATGTTGGAGGACATTTGTTTGTAGGGTTGCCGTAAGTGGGAGGCAACTTGATGGCCTACAATAACAAAAACAACAAAATGTTGGGAATACACGGACACAAGGTGTTGCTAGACTGCAACTCTCATCAGCCCCTAGGCAACCTATTTAATAGTAAGGGGAAAATGGGAACTGTGATCCAAAAGGGACAATTAAGCTGGTTTCCTGAGAAGCAAAATTATAAAGACAGTCAAGTCTTCTTTTTCATTCTTATAATGCTGATTTTAATAGCATATATCCAATTTACGGATTGTTTCACTCAAATTTGTCCAGTTTCACTCAAATTGCACTTAAAAAAACAACACAAGCTCAACTGCTCAATAGTGCAGTAGTTTAGGTTTATGGCTGCGGAGCCAGAGGCTGCGAGTTCGAATTCCCCACTGTGCCTCCTTGGCAGGAGCTGGATGCGATGATCCATAGGGTCCTTTCCAGCTCTGTACTTCTAAGATCACATGATATTTGGAAAGAAGTCAAGGATGGAGTTTAATCCAAATTACAAGAATCAAGTCTTTGTAGAACAAGAGTTCAAGGGAAGAAACCAACTATCATACTAGCTGGCAAAGTGTTAGTCAAAGTAAAATAAAGTGAAATAAACATAATTTCAATAATTTTTTTTTCCAGAGGGGACTCATGCAGACTCTGTTTCCCAAACGGAAGATCTGGTTACGGTCCGAGAGGGAGAGCCTGTTTTGCTACCTTGCAGCCACAAAATCTCTGGAGCCCCGATTCTCTTCTGGTATGAACAGTCTCCCAACGGAGCCCCTCAGCTTTTGCTCTCCAATTATGACAATGAGGATGCAGAGACCAAGGAGCGCCGGAGAGGGTTTTCAGCAGCCAACAAAGAGAAAACCTTCAATTTGACCAAGGGTGCAGCTGAACTGAGAGACTCCGTTGTCTATTTCTGTGCCGTGAGAGACACAGTGAAGAGAATGACAAAGAAGGCATGACTAAAACCCACCCAGTGGCAGAATGGAGCTATGCAAAGATATAACAGGATACCTCTAAAAATCTTCCCTCCCTCTTCCTTTGTTTGTTTGTTTGTTTGTTC